GCCATCTTAGGTCGCAGCCGCACCACGCGGCCCTGCCATTTTTGCTTTTGCAGCCGTCTTTGGTCGCGGCTCCCACAGCTCTCCACACAAGTGTTCTACCACTTGAGCCACAGCGCCACTTCCTCCATGAGACTCTTATCTCCAATTAACCACCAGAAAACTGAAAATGATAGTGTGGCTCAAGTGGTAGAGCGCTAGCCTTGAGCTGAAGAGCTGAGGGACAGCACCCAGGCCCAGAGTTCAATCCCCACGACTGACCAAAAAAAAAAAAAGACTGGGAAGTTGGCTCAGTGGTAGAGTGCTTGCCTCGCATGCATGGGGCCCTGGGTTCAATTCCTCAGCACCACATAAGCAGAAAAAAAGCCAAAAGTGGCGCTGTGGCTCAAGTAGTAGGGCACTAGCCTTGAGATGAAGAGTTGAGGGACAGTGCCCAGGCCCAGAGTTCAGGCCCCATCCATGACTGACAAGAAAGAAAGAAAGAAAGAGATTAAGGATCAAAGCCAGCCCAGCAGACAAATCCAAGAGGTTTGTGTCTCTAATAAATCACCTCAAAGCCAGAAGTAAAGGTATGGCTCAGGTGGTAGAAATGCCAGCCACATGCAGAAAAGCTAATGGACAACTCCCAGACCCTGAGTTCAATCCTTAATACTGCCAATTTTTTTTTAATGAATGAAAGACAGAAAAAGGAAGGAAAGAAGGGGAAAAGGAAGGAAGAAAGGACAAAAAAGCCAGGCTCTGGTGGCTCATGTCTATAATACTAGCTATTCAGGAGGCTGAGATCTGAGGATTGTGCTTCAAAGCCAGCCCAGGCAGGAAAGTCTGTGAGACTCTTATCTCCAATTAGTTATCAAAAAGCCAGAAGTGGACCTGTGGCTCAAGTGGGTCAGCAATAGCCTTGAGTGAAAAAGCTTAGAGCCTCAGGTCCTGGGCATTCTCTGGGAAATTCTGCTCAAGGTTAGCATTCTACCACTTTGAGCCCAGCTCCACTTTCCAGTTTTCTGGAGGTTTATTGGAAATAAAAGTCTTATGGAGCTGGGCGCTGGTGGCTCACGCCTGTAATCCTAGCTACTCAGGAGGCTGAGATCTGAGGATCGCGGTTCAAAGCCAGCCCGGGCAAGAGAGACCATGATACTCCTATCTCCAATAAACCACCATAAAACCGGAAATGGCGCTGTAGCTCAAGTGGTAGAGCGCTCGCCTTGAGCTGAAGAGCTGAGGGACAGCGCCCAGGCCCAGAGTTCAAGTCCCACGACCAACAAAAAAAAAAAAGTCTTATGGACCTTCCTGCCTGGGCTGGCTTTGAACTATGATCCTCAGATCTCAGCTTCCTGAAATGCTAGGATTATAGACGTGAGCCACCAGCACCTGGCTAAGGGTTTGTCCTTTATACAGCCTGAGACTCCATGATATTTTCATCTTCCTGGAACTTCCTACCCCTCTCCTGCCTCTCCAGCCCCTGGGTTTTTTGTTTTTTTTTGTCGGTCGTGGGGCCTGAACTCCGGGCCTGGGCGCTGCCCTCAGCTCTTCAGCTCAAGGCGAGCGCTCTACCATTTGAGCTACAGCACCACTTCCGGTTTTCTGGTGGTTTATTGGAGATAGGAGTCTCACGGTCTTTCCTGCCCGGGCTGGCTTTGAAGCTCGATCCTCAGATCTCAGCCTCCTGAGTAGCTAGGATTACAGGCGTGAGCCACCAGCGCCCGGAGCCCCTGGGGTTTGTAGTATGACCTACCCCATTTTTTGCTACCTTCAGGCAAGCCTGAGGATCCCCATTTGCCAGAGAGGAGGCCCAGGGTTTGAACCTAGGCTCTGTGGCACTGTGGCTTGGCTTTCTCCGCTAGCCCTCTAGCACTTGAGCCACAGTTCAACTTCCAGCTATTTAGTGGTTAATTGGAAGATGAGAGTCTCACTGGCTGTCCTGGCCTGGCTCGCTTCAAACAGTTATCCTCCTGAGTAGCTAGGATTACAGGCATGAGTCACCAGGCTCTGCTCTGTGAAATACATTTCCATAATGCTGTTAACTAGAGAAAGGGAGTCTGATCAGAGAGACAATTAGCCAGGGCAGAGGTGAGGGGCTCTGGATTTTCCCATCAAGCTCTGTTTCCACTGGGGATCCTCAGGTGGGCCATCCTGATGCCAAAAAGGTGCTAGGCAAGAGGGGGCCAGGATGACCCGGGCTAGGCAGGATCTGGGGTAGAGGAGGCCAGAGTAGAGGAGCCTCTGAGGAACAAGCTGCTAGGGGAAATGGGGCTGGAAGATGTGGCCTTGGCTCCTTCCTGTGCCAACTGTGAGTGGTCCAACAGCAAACCGCCAGGCTGAAGGGTAAGGCGGGGATGGGGAAGGGTGAGGGGTGGGGGAGGGGAGGCGGTGTCCCAAGGTCATTGGAAATCTAGTGGGAAACTGAAGGCAGGAGGTGTAGAGCTCAGATCTATGACATCTTTCGTTTGTTTTTCTTTTTTTCCAGTCCTGGGGCTTGAACTCAATGCCTGGGTACTGTCCCTGAGCTTTCATGCTCAAGGCTAGCATTTTACCACTTGAGCCACTTCTGGCTTTCTTTTGGGTGATTAATTGGAGATCAAGTCCCACAGATGTTCTTGGCTGGGCTGGCTTTGAAATGTGATCCTCAGATCTCAGCCTCCTGAGTAGCTAGAATTATAGGTGTGAGCCACCAGCACCTGGTTTAGTGGCAGCTTTATTGTGTGTGTGTGTGTGCCAGTCCTGGGCCTTGAACTCAGGGCCTGGATGCTTGCTGTCCCTGTGCATTTTTGCTCAAGGCTAGCACTCTACCACTTGAGTCACAGCTTCATTTCTGGATTTTGGTGGTTGACTGGAGATAAGACTCTCACTGACTGGGGGCTGGGAAGGTGGCTCAGTGATAGAGCGCTTGCCTTGCATGCATGAGGCCCTGGGTTCCATTTCTCAGCACCACATAAGCAAAAAGAAAAAAGCCGGAAGTGGCGCTGTGGCTCAA